AGGAGTTAAAACATTCAATTTACATTTTTATTTCTTTTTTTTTTTTTGAAGGGACGCGCGCTGATAGCTTGAGGAGCTTTTCCAGCTTCACCGGGCAGAGTGGCGAGTACAGAAGGTACTCTAGCCGTTTGGCGATCGTCGGTGCGCGTGCCGACGAGGCCGAGTGTGGGCTTCGCGAAGCGAAGCCCAGGCTCGTCCGCGTCGGTCGCAGACCGACGTTCGCGATCGGGCCGTATCGAGCGCATAAGGCGCCCGATCAGTGGCGAACCCAACAAGAGGGTTGCCCACCGCGGTGTTGGACCAAAGTCCAGCCTACGGCGGGCTCACTCTAGTGGGCCCGATCGAGGGGACTACGGACGCGGCCTGAGGGCGCCACGGTAGGCTCGGACCTCGGCTCAGGCCGTGTCCGGGGGACGGATAGGGGAGAACCGGCCCGGTACATGTCTGTACCGTCCGAAATGGAAAGCAGGGCCTCGTACTCGCCGGCGAGTACGGTGTAACGAGCTACTGTGTTGTGGAGTAGTTGGCGTGCTTAAGGCAGTGATGTCTGTGTTCAGAAATTCGGTAATAGGATCGTCCGGGTCGTCTAGGACATGCCTAGGTCGTCGGTATTGGGCAGCGACATCTTTCTGGGGTGTATACGTGGCGGCGCTAACGATAAGAGGGTTCTTGTGGTTGATCGCTTTATCAAAGTAGCGGCGAGAGGCTTCTTTCATAAAGTGATCAATCGATGGGATCTCGAAATCTCTATGGAGATTCGTATTACGCACGAACCACGGGGCATCCGCGGCTCGGCGTAAGAATTTGTTTTGGAGGGTCTGGAATTTCTTAAGGTCTGTGCAGGAAGTGTGAGCAAACACCGGACTGGCGTAAGTCAACACTGGACGGATGCAGGTTTTGTAAATTGTCAACTTATTTCTAAGTGACAATTTACTTTTCCTTCCAACTAGGTGGTAGAGTCGGTGGATGTAGTGGTTTGCACGGCTCAAGACGCGTCTGAGGTGCGGAGCGAACGTTAATCTCTGGTCGAGGGTGACACCTAAGTATTTGGCCTCACTTTTCCAAGGAATAGTTTGGTCAAATAAGGTGAGATGGGTGGGGACATTAGGACGAGTGCGAACCGGAGGACGTTTCGCAGACAAAGCCCTAGAAAAGTACACTGCTGCACTTTTTTCGGGATTTACCTCGATACGCCACTTCCTGAACCATTCGCCTAATTGTGTGACTGCGCGTTGGAGCGCCAAGATGACGTAATTCCGATTACGTCCGGACTTGTAGAGTGCGGTGTCGTCCGCAAAGCGAAGCCGTGAAACGTATCATTAGTCCTAATTAGGAACTAAATATTACATTTATAGAACTGTTCATAATATTTAAAATTTAGTCATTATAGATATTTTATGTAATTGAATAATTCACTGTGTTTAAACGAGCAAATCAAAGTCTAAATTAGTGACCGCCATCTATCGACGTGCTTTTGACGGTCGTTAACATTCATGAGAGCGAAGCCGTGAAAAGTATCATTAAAATTTTATGTAATTGAATCATTCACTGTGTTTAAACGATCAAATAGTATTCAAACATTTAGATAATAACGTTAAAAACCATTTAAAAATCCTATGAGAACTTTTTCGACTTCTACACGGACGAAGTCGCGGGCAAAAGCTATTTGTAAAATCATCATCATCATCATCATCATCATCATTTCAGCCATAGGACGTCCACTGCTGAACATAGGCCTTTGTAAAATAATTAGACTAAATGATTAAAAGTGCCTACCCAAAGTCATTAGTCCACGCGGACGAAGTCGCGGGCACAGCTAGTTACACTATATTATTAATGACATTGAGCATATATTTTTTTAAATACCTTCGCGAAGTAAAACTTCTGTACGTAGTACTTATTATTATTCTGTGGTGCAGGTTCGGCGCATCCTACCCACGCGAACACCTGCAACAATACGCCACTGTAATAACTTATTAATATTAAGCTGGTACGTGATTAATCCCCATTGTGGAACGCCAGCAAGCATGATATTGGCCTAAGTCAAATTTCCCATTACAGCGAAGCCAAATTGTGGAACTGGTTCGCTTGCGGGTAATGGAGGCCACAACAATCGACGCTTATCTTAATTGCTGGAATTGAATACATTTTACCGATACCTACATTGTAGATACTTGGTTTCGATGTATCGATACCAGAAATATTCAAAGGAAGATTGTTGTATTCACACGCATATACTTTCATCGATACAAAGAGCAGAGAACACAGGTTTCTTTACTTGTCAGACCTTTAATTTAACTTTTACTGAACTGTTTGGGAAATCCTCAACGCTACGTAAGGGTCACGTCTACCTTCACGAATGTAAAGACTGTCCTCTTAGATTGTAAATTTAACGGGAAGAAAAGGGTTTTTTGTTTGAGTAACTAAAGAAATATCACTTAAATTGAGTATTGATTAGCGTTGAGGCGTCGACGAGGTGTCACTCGATGGCAGGCCCGATAACGTCCCGCCACTTCACGGGAACGAGGTCGGAGCTAAACCAACTAACCCAATAAAAATATTACTTTTTCCTAACTTAGGTTGGGTTGCACCATCTTACTTTAACTTTGACAATCGTCAAAAATCTGTCAAACTCCATACAAAATACACCGGTTATCGATAAAGTTAGGTGGTGCAACTCAGCCTTAGATTAGGTACTTTTCAAAGTCAATTTGTCGCCCAGTTAACATACCTACTACGTTCGCGTAACTTTAATTTCGGTAAAGACTGATACAGCCTCGAGACTTGAGTCTTGTCACCCTTTGAAAAGTATGGAGTCAGAGAATTTTGTTCATTTCATCATCAAGTATGTATAAAATAAGTTTCTAACATAACTTAAATTGATAATGGTTCTTACTCATGTAATAAAATATTTAGGGTTAATTTTAGCATAGTATAGCTATGAAAGAAATGCTTTTAAAGGAAAATTTATTCATTATTGTGCAAATTAATAAATAATTTAGAGTTAATATTTGGTAACTAAATTAAAGTGTGGGAAATTCGAACAGATTTCACGTAGCGCTCTTTACAAACTCAACAAACGGACTCCATTAATTAAATCTCATTAATTATTTCCACTGAGTACAAATAAATGTTAATTGGTGCTGAACATTTCTGGAAACCGCACCATAGTGAAAACACTTTAAATAAAATGGTTTTAACTACAAAAACATCGGTTTCCAACAATAATTTTAATGACGGTCTTTCGTTGTCAATTAATAGTAATTTGAAATGTCCATGCCAATTAATTCCAATTATACAGTATAAATGGATATATTTTTAATTTTCAAGAATGAAATGTTAAAAAAACTTGTAACTACGGTTACATATTTGGGACATCTGAAAATACCCACCTACAATAAAATCACTTTGCGTTCCATATTTGCACATCTACGCGTCTGTCACAAACACTTCTCTCAAAGATTTATCAAACGAAAGTAGAGTTTCCTTAAGTGAATGCTTTCCTGGATGTGTTATAATGTAAGCCTTTTTACGACTATAACAATAAAGATACTAACTGAAACGTAAATGACGATCATTTATGAATATTTTTTTTAATAATAAAACAGGCATGTTCTTGTTAAAAAATAGCAGTAAATTATGCGTGTGGTAACATTATTTACGAGTATTATATCAGGCTCTATTCTTTACACAGACGACCTTAGAGGTAGTTTGTGTAAGAAAACAGCCTATTATTGCGATATTGTAGCAGCATAATATTTTAGAGCAATTAACATTCATGCAGTCAATAAACCGATGGTCAAGTTAACGAATGAACAGTATTTAACCACGTCTATTTAAAACAGTGGTTAGTGAGAGGTTAACAATAAAACAACAATTTCAATTTACCTGTCCGTTGCTGACTCGGGCTGAAGTACGAGTATTTGCAAGTAACAAAGCAGCACTTTTAACGCAAACGTGTCCCTGTGGTACTCGTAAAGTTGCCATGCAACTAGTAATACACGACTGATTCAGTGACTCCCAAACTTTTCTAAATCTAGGACCATGACATAATAAGAAAAATAAATATTAATCATCATCATCATCATCATCACCTCAGCCATAGGTCCAATGCTGAACATAGGCCTCCCCCAATGCTTTCCATGTTACCCGGTAGTGGCGTGCGTCCAGCGCTTTCCTGCTACCTTTATGATGTCGTCGGTCCACCTTGTCCACCTTAGCCCGACGAATTAGCAAGCTGAAGTGGCAATGGGCAGAGCACATAGTACGCAGAACTGACGGACGATGGGGCAGCAAGGTTCTGGAGTGGAGGCCGCGTACCGGAAAACGCAGCGTGAGACATCCACCCACAAATAAATATTAATCCACCTAAAATAACACAATCCATGACCTACAATATATTACTCTAACTTATTTTTAGATAAATCTCCCAAAAAACATAAAGCTCATTTTATTTTTGCAAGACTTTTAGAAAGAACTTTTACACGTCCCTGTATTAACCCTACCACTGCTTCGGGACAATAAATGGGCCGGTGCTGAGATGAAGCAGCGTAAGAAACCTCTTAAACGTTTGAGCAGATTTATTATCCTAATCAACTTTAAATCTTCTCACCTACGAGTTCAGTGATCCACGGACTTACTCGGATATTATTATTCAAAGGCGGGCGACTCTCGGCGCTGTATCGCCCGCGCAATTTCAAATCGTTACGGGCCATATTTATTAATACGCCCGTATTTACAAACATTACTATGAGGTCTCACAATGCGCGTGGATGCACAGGGTCATACACGAACCAATCACAGAGCTATTTTCAACGCTGTACGTTCGATTTGCTACTTCACTTAAGCAGCATCGTTTGTGAACACGGGTGTAAAACACTTGAACTGATTTGGATGCTTTTTGTTTTTTGCGGACCACGGGGGTCCTGGACCTGTAGTTGGGAGCCTCTAGACTAACAGTTACTAATACTTTGCTAATATTGCTATTGCTTTTCCCACAGGTTGCCAGCTGCGTCGATGTAGGTCGTGTGCGGAGGTCTACTAGCGCTTCCGCGATGCAGGGGTAAATATCATATTATAGTCTTAGACTGGGTTGCACCATCTTACTTTAACATTAACAAACGTCAAAAATCTGTAAAACTCCATACAAAAAACACCGGTTATCGTTATAGTGACCGTTAAACTTAGGTGGTGCAACTCAGCCTTAGAGATAACTTAGACAAAAGAAAGGAGAGTGGGCAGATTTAAGTAGACATCGTAAAACGGAACTATTCCCAACTCTCGTTCCCACCGTTGAAACTCCTGTGTAGCCAGGATCTACAGCCAATAAAACCCAACCAGTGAAGGTCAAGTTTGTACCGGGGAAAAGTTAAACTGTCATTGGACCTGCAACGAAATTAATCAGAAGAACATAGGAGTTCGAAGTTAAGGTTCGACTTAGTAAGACATTGTAAAAATGAGAGATAGTTGAGACAAAACAAGGCATGTAGGCAGATTTGTGTAGATTGTGAATAAGGATTGTTTTTATAAAAGTATACGAGACGGTTAATTTTAATATAATTAATTATACTACATAGGAGAACTTCCCACGGTATTAAATGAACATTATAATTCAGTCTTACATAAGGTATCAAATTGAACTTGAACTTATTTGGTTCTTCGAAAACACCGAAGCAGGTGATGCTAAGTAAAAGCTCGAAAAATATTATCCGTAAAGCTAAGCCTGAAACGGATACCTCACGGAAACCCTACGTCTACAGACGCTCCAGCAATTTTAGGTTTGAATATGGGATTACAAGTTTCAGCAGTTCTTACTAGAGTAGGTATGTTACTTTTTATTATAAAGGCAGTATAATAACCATTGCTTTTAGGCTAGTATTGTGATTAGCTTTAAATTCAAGGTCGCGGTAAATTATATTGAGTCGTAACGTACCTATAAATAGAGTTATTTGTACGATCAATATTGGTATAAAATAATACCTATACAAGGGTATTTTCCTTTAAGATTATAGATACCTAGTTGGCTCTTAGACTATACTCATCATTCGAACCACACAACAATTTGTAAGATTCAAAACCCATGGCGTCTCACCCATCTTTTTTGCCACCCACCATGCATAATTAAAATCTTTATCTTTAAAACCAGCCGTTAAAACTTTTATGTCATTTGATGTCCCATAGAGATGCATTTATTATGAGGGTAGTCGGTCTCCAAGGCGGGTCATACAGTATGGAAGAGACATCGATTTTTCGCTACACCCGCTTCACTGGTCCACGTCAAACTCCGGTGCGCTCAGCCGTATTAAAACATAAAGGATATTAGACTTAACTGTTGCATTGTAAATTATGTAATACATCCTGTAGAGCCTTCCAAAGTGCATGTACTTAAGACCTTAGAGTAGGCGCACACCGTTGATTTTTAGTTGGCCGATAGTTGTGCCCGATTTTAATTTGTATGAAGAATCGGCCAAATCGAATCGCCGTAGTCTGCGCACTCCCATACATGCCCATACTGATAAACAGCCCGACTAAACTATCGGCACAGAATAAGTAATAGTACAGGTACAGAAGGATTACTCCGCAAGACGATTTAAATAAATGCGAGTCTTGCTACGACGCGATACAGTGGAATTCAGCTCGCACAGCACTACGTACCTACAATTTTATTCACCTACAAGTTTTGTCTCTTTCTATCGCGTGCCTCTGAACTCTTCTTACGCTGTTAGGGTTGCTGTCTAGTGAAAAAATAATTAATCTACTTATTTGTAATGAGGTACGTATGTAGGTAAGTATGCATTCATTATGGAAAACCTTGAGAGAGGCCTTTGTCCAGTAGTGGACGTCATTTGGCTGAAACGAACGAACGCAATCTGAGCAGTAGTCATAGTAGGTTAGGTTCCTATACTATCCTAAGAATTATTGATTACCTACATGGCCAACATACCTTTCAGCATCTTTGGGAAGCGAAAAAAAAAGATAAATCCGGTAGATTACTTTTCGAATTTAAAAACCCGAACGCCATACAATATTTCTTTCTCTTTATGTCCATTTTTAAATAATACTTCGATCATAGAATTATAATCATACTACAACCCACGCCAGCGTCCTGACAAGCGCGCGTGACACTCGACTGATATAATACCCGCCGGCGGGGCGCTTCGCTGTAGGTAATTATCGGATGTACCGCGCGGAGTGAGCCAGGCCTGCTATCGGCTAACTAAAAATCAACGGGCACACCGTTGCCTACTCTTAATAAGACTTCGAAAAGAGGCAAAAGATTATTGAAAATAGTAAAAAGAAAACAAAAATGAATAAAAAAGGTTTAATTAATTCTTAGCTGATTAAACTAAGTAAGTAACTAAATATTGGTTTATTAATAACTATACACTACCTTCATACCTATAGCTTATTCTCACCATAACCGCACAATAGAAATGGCGCTGGTCTGAAGAATGTGTTTGTAGGGTAGGTTTGTAGTTTATATTTGTAGTACCTACCTACAGTATCAGCCAGTGCTCCATAACGGTTAGAGTATTCTAGTGAGTTGGCCCACTTTTAGCTTGGTCCACGGTCCAAGTTAGGCACTGGTTTGCTTTTTTTAATTTTTGTTGATTTGGTGTTTAATATACTAACAAACTTTGAAGGTGGGCCCAGTCACTGGAAGAAAAACTATTTAAAAATTTAAACCAACGACTTGACCCGTGGACCAAGCTGAAATTGGGCCAAGTCACTGGAAGACTCAACGGTTACACTAACATATTTTATTAAGCTTTATTTAGAGTAAATAATTATATTGCTTTCATGTCCAATCATTGACATTATGTTCTTTCACAGCGCGTTCGAAAGGCTACAGCGAGTGGACTGGGGCGCCGTGAGGCGTGATACCCACAACCTCTTCACCAAGCTCATAAGAACCCGGGACCCGAAGGACTCTGAGTCCACGGAGATCACCCTTCCCGGGAGGCAGCGTCTATCGGTAAGTTATCAGTCTAAATCCTACTTCCTACTTATATCCTACTTATATTATAAAGGCGAAAGTTTGGATGTCATGATGTCTGGATGTTTGTTACTCTTTCACGCAAAAACTACTGAACGGATTTTGTTGAAACTTTACAGTATTATTGTTTATAACCCAGATAAAATTCAAACTAGTTCCGTCTCCTTTTTGCGAGTGTTCCACTGATGATGTCAGTCATGAGCAGTCTGCTCATCATATCTTGTGGGAGTGTGATCTTTGGAAACATGAACGTGATATAATGCTTAATTCAATACAACATACATCTGTTTCCGCAATTTATTACACCGATCTTGTCGCGACAAGGAAAAATTTCCGTGCTTTTAAGCGATTTTGTGAAAAATATTATTGGCAGGTAGTTGCTAATTGCTCATAAGATAGGCCCCCTTAATTTAATTTATTGTCCGTGGTGCATAATCTTTTTCTTAAAGGTTTTAAACCTTTGTTTGTCACCTGTCATCCGCTTTGCAATGGAGGGAAGTCGAACCTTAATTTCGAACTCCTCCTATGTTCTTCTGATTAATTTCGTTGCGGGTCCAATGACAGTTTAACTTTCCCCCGGGACGCCCCCTTAATTTAATTTATTGTCCGTGGTGCATAATCTTTTTCTTAAAGGTTTTAAATCTTTGTTTGTCACCTGTCATCCGCTTTGCAATGGAGGGAAGTCGAACCTTAATTTCGAACTCCTCCTATGTTCTTCTGATTAATTTCGTTGCGGGTCCAATGACAGTTTAACTTTCCCCCGGGACAAACTTGACCTTCATTGGTTGGGTTTTTGTGGCGGTCAAGCTGTAGATCCTGGCTACACAGGAGTTGCAGTGGTGGGAACGAGAGGTGGGAATAGTCCCGAACCCAGATAAACATAAAGGCTATAATTTATGACGTTATGTGACAAATAAATTTCAATAAATAAATAAGACTTGTCTAAAAAGCGCCATCTATCGTCATTGGTTAAAATCTATAGCGTTGCACAAACTACTGTTTTTGACGTTCGTAAATATTCATGCGGGGGAAGCCGTGAAACGCCATCTATCAACATGATATCTAACGGGGGTAAAACGAGGTCCACGCGTACGAAGTCGCGGGCGGCCGCTAGTTTTAAATAAACAACTTGGAAAAATCGAACTGCCTAAGGCGGGATTCGAACCCACGACCTTCCGCTTGCCGGGCGACTGCTCTTCCAACTGAGCTACTTAGACACTAGATGAACTGAAAATTTTCAAGTGTAATACGCTGTTATTTATGTGCGCTTTTATTTCATCAGTTATCAATCTGTTCCAATCAATGATATTATATAAAAACAAAAGCAGATATGTTATAAGCGCTCGCGCTGTGAATACTCAGATACGTCCCAATTGGGACGTCTTGTGTTTAGTCTTCGTGTGGCCTGCGTCGTGCGCAATCGCGTGCGTACCACACGTAAGTTCCTGTTCTTACCAAAATAAAAAAAAAATGCCATCTAGTGTGTTTCGGAAGTGTACCAATTATGACTCTAAAGTAAACAAAATACAAGGGATCTCTTACCACATGTGATTATGCAAAATTATTTAGTATTTATATTTTCAATTATTTATGCAAACAATCAAGACGCCATGCGCCATGTTCAAGTTAAGAAAAAGAAAGCGATCTTGTTTTGACGTTAGAGCGATAAGGATGCGTGCGCTGCGGACATAGATTAGTTAGTGCAGAATCGTTAAAACTATAGCTATCTCTTTCATTTGCGTGCTATTTCGTATCTTTTGTTTCACTTATCAGTTACATTTGTCAATGTGTGCAATTTGGAATAGCTCGGCACGGATTCAAATCGTAATTTCTATGAACGTAACATATTGTGTGTTTCGAAAGTGTACCAATTATGACTCTAAAGTAAACAAAATACAAGGGATCTCTTACCACATGTGATTATGCAAAATTATTTAGTATTTATATTTTCAATTATTTATGCAAACAATCAAGACGCCATGCGCCATGTTCAAGTTAAGAAAAAGAAAGCGATCTTGTTTTGACGTTAGAGCGATAAGGATGCGTGCGCTGCGGACATAGATTAGTTAGTGCAGAATCGTTAAAACTATAGCTATCTCTTTCATTTGCGTGCTATTTCGTATCTTTTGTTTCACTTATCAGTTACATTTGTCAATGTGTGCAATTTGGAATAGCTCGGCACGGATTCAAATCGTAATTTCTATGAACGTAACATATATATAGTTCTTTAATATCATTGGTTCCAATAATATTCAACGCTATCCGTTCGATTCGCTGCTTCACTTATGCAAGCATCGTTTGTGAATCTGAATCATAATCATTTAAAGTGGGCTTAAAAACTTATTTGAATTACTTAAATAAGAACAGAAAGATTTGTTCAAGTACCTTTAGAATACGAAATACCAAATCTAAATAAAATCCATTCACGATTGTGATTGTGAAAAATCTCAACCGTTTTTATCGAATCGGCTATCCACTGCGGTAAGTTTTTTTAATGGTGTCATTAGCGACAAATGTATTGACAAATAAATAGGTTGTACCTATAGATAAATCTGGAGATCTTTATAAACCAAAGTTTCTTTCAAGTCTTTGCTTATGCGTTAATTTTAGACAACTATCATAGGTTCCGGGAGGTTTCTCACAAGTTAAGAATGAAATTTTGTAAATATTTAGCTCTAATGAAATAAATCAACAGTGATGTTACGTTTATGCAGACTGCACACGAAACTCGTCTACCCGCCGACAAGCCGAGTCATTTAGCGCTCCTGCACACGACGCCGCCGCCGCGCCGCCCCCGCAAAACATAATTTTGCCGGTCCACTGTACTGTTGTTAGTAATACATTGCGAGTGAAATACGTGCGATCTTCGTAACCAGCAATATACTTATTACTATCAATGGTGGGGTGGACCAGTGAAATTATGCTTTGACGGCGCGGTGGCGGCGCGGCGGCGGCACGGCGGCGGCGCGGCGGCGGGCTTTACGCGGCGGCGCGGCGGCGGGCTTTACGCGGCGCGTATGAACAGTGTAGGGGCTCGGCGTCGGCGCGGCGGCGGCGCGGTGGCGGCGTCGTGTGCAGGAGCGCTTATGATATATGTTGTTGACATGATTCTTTTGAAATATAACCGCCGCCGACACCACACAGCCTGGCTGTCGGCGGGCCTGGGGTGTAAAACCCAATCTTTCTCATTAGATCCATTCCCTAGATTCACACTGAAATACAGTCACAACTTTTGAAGAACTTAACTGTATAACCGTAATTTCAAAAGATTTTGGATAGAAAATAAAATTGTAAATTGTAACTTGGTCCATATTGAGTTACTATTTGATACATCCAATCAACTGACAGTACTTTTGAGCTATCAAGTGTTTCACCATACATTCTGTATTATGGAATTAATTATGGATGGGTGACCTTACTTCATTTCCAAGTCCACTGAATAAATTACACTTTATATCTGAGCTATCACCAAGTAATATCAAATAACCACTTTGATGGGTATATAAATATGACATTCAGCCCGCCATACACGGACAGCTTGAAGCAGCTAGTAACGACAGCTTCAAGCTGCGACTGCACAGTGAACTGCAGAGTTCTATGGACGCACATACACGAAACGCTCGAGCAGTTGCAACTGATTCGGGCGGTCGACAGCACGGTGAATTTTCATCGTGCGGTCAAGCAGTCGCCAGCCATACACTGACTGCTCGAGCTGTCGTCAGTGCTTCCTCTTCAAAATCGATGGTGCTACTGATTTGAAATTGCCCACCGCTTGAACTGTTGAAACAACTGCTAGAGCAGTTATCACTGGCAGCTTCAAGCTGTTGACTCTAGACTACAAGAGTGGTCCGTGTATGTTGATCACTGACTAACTACTCGAGCTGTCCGTGTATGGCGGGCCTTAGGTTTGTGATAAGGCGGCTATACATGCCAGTAAAACGAAATACTAGTACCTTACAAGCTTGTTAAGAGCATGTGCAAGTAACTAGCGCAATGGGTATACATTTGCATGCATGCAATTTGCGTCATTCGTTCCTACCAATTTTAAAATCAAATATTGTGCAATCTACACGTTAGCCAGATAGAATACAGGCATGCCAGTATGACGTATACAAAAGACAATTAGTTGGTGATACATGCAGCAACAGAACTGGAATACAATAATATCAATTACTGGCATGTGTATCGCCGCCTTTATGTTGGGTTTTGTATTGTGAAAGTAATCGTAAAACGTGTCGATTCACGCGTAATTCCAAAGCGAGTTACTAGTCTAATAAATAATATGTCCATTATTGTCCATGCGTGATTTGTCAAACAGATAATAATGACGTCATTGCTTTTTTGGAGTCTAGTCGGCTTTCACTGAACATGAAATGTGCCTGTCATTTACACCCGTATTCACAAACGATACTTTCTTAAGTGAGGCAGCAACGCTATGCGAAGTCGAACGCACAGCGTTGAATAGAGCTCGGTCGCCCGTATTCACAAACGATGCTTGCTTAATTGTAGCAGCAAATCGAACGCACAGCGTTGAATAGAGCTCTGTGATTGGTTCGTGTGTCACCCTGTGCGTCCACGTGCACTGTGGAACGTCATAGTAATGTTTGATAATACGGGCGTAAGATTGGTTTGTGTGTCTCCCTGTGCGTCCACGCGCACTGTGAGACCTCATAGTAATGTTTGTGAATACGGGTGTCATTCTATTCTAATGAGAGTAATGTTGTGGATGTTACACGCAATACGTTCCGACTCACAGTGTCCGGTTTTGGCAGGCTCTACGAAGTTGTGGTTTAACTTGTTGATTTCATTATTTCCAAGAAATAGTATTTTCACGTTCATTCATATTCGAGCTACGTCATTTATACTTAATAGGTAGGCGAAAAGTATATCTCAATCAATTTTGAATTGAATTTATGTGTTGTTTGGATTCATGAAGTTTTCTAAATTCTGCTCTATTAAAACTTATGTGGCCACGAAAC